CAGGAGAAATGGGAGACTAGGTTTTCTGGGTGGATTGTTTGTCTAGGGGCACAGAGGTCAGGAGATTAAAACAGCCCCATGTTCCAGTAGATGGGGAGGAGCGTGTCCCCCCAACCCAACTAAACCTTTCCAAATCCCAGAAACCCCCTGTGAATCCCACCTGACCCCCAGTACCACCTGTGTGCCCCATCTGCCCCCCATCCCCTGCAGAGCCTGCTTGCCCCCCCAACCCCTCCATTCTCTCTGCTAGCCCTCCAATTTGATTTATCTTATATTGGGGGCTATTTTTCACATGATCTAACTCCCCCAAACTCCCTGAATGTCTGCACATAGGCTAAGATGTCAGATCCAGCCCACAAAAGGCTGATCTGTTCTGCATGTTATTAATGGTTATTCTGCATTAGTCCCTGCCACCCCAGCCATCAGATCCCCTTTTACTAACAGACAGCCAATGGCCTGTCCGTTTAGTATTGGTCAGCTCCTCCAGTGATGTGTGGAGGCCTTTTCTCTCTAACTCCCCTAATTCAGCCTGGGCTGAATTCGCCAATCCAAATTGTTGCTTTCCACACTTTTCAGTGGCACATTTTTTTCAGGGGAGACTACATTGCGGAGTGGAAACACTCCTCTGCTCAGATCAGGGACACAACAGGCGAGTGACAGCTGCCAGCAGTAAGCACTGACCTGCTGTTAGGAAAGGTTGCCAACCCCTGCTTTAGATTATACAACCCTACCATCTCTGGACATCCTCAATATAACATTTTTTTAGTGAAAAATCCACAATGTTCACTAAATATTAATATATTTATCTGTTCTCTTGCTTTATATTGTTCTGTACTGGTTTCTGCACAAAGATTTGTAGCTGTAGGGTGAATGGAAAGGAAGTGGAGAGGGATAGATGGTTTTTGCTTTGTTCCAAAATCAAGTTATGAATTTGAGACACAGGGGGATCTACTAAGCTATTGAGTCCAGTCCCCTGCTCTCACAGGCAAACACATCCTATAATCCCTTTCATAAACTTAACAAGCTCCATCTTAAAACTCGTTAGGGTTTTGTCCCCACTGCTCCTTTTAGAAAGCTGGTGCAGAATCTCATATCCCTAATGATTTGAAACTTTCTCCTAATTCCTAGCCTAATTTATTCATGAGTAGTTTATATCCATTCATTCTTGCATTTATCTTAATTAACTCTTCTACCTCTCTGGTGATGTGTTTATAGACAACAATCATATTCCTTTTCACTCTTTGTTTTGCTAAGCTAAACAAGACAAGCTTTTTGAGACTTTCCTTGTAGTAAGCTTTTCATTCTCTTGATAATCCTATGAGCCCTTTCTGCATCTGTTCTATCTTTACACATGACCAACATTGCACCCAGTATTCCAAATTAGGTTTCAACAGAGCCTTGCATTAAGTAATTAATGCTCCTCTGTGCTAGAAATTCCTTGCCTGATGCACTGTAGCATTGCATTTGTCTTTTTCAGGGCTGTAGCTCTTTGGTGGCTCACAGTCATTATGTAATCAAGACATATTTTCTCCTCTTTAATATTTCCAGCCACTGAACCCACACCTTGTAGCAGTTTTATTAATCCTGAAATTAAGACTTTGAAATTACAAAATTATTACATTTCACCACATGTCAGTCATACCTCAAGGTTATGCAGTTAGGACCTACATCTTACATCTTCTTTACTAATTCTCACCTTCTCCATGTTATCATACATCATTATATCATTTCTTTACTAAAACCCAGATAGATTAAGTGTTCTGTATTTCCCTTGTTTAGAGCATCAGTTATATTATCAACAAAGTTATTAACTTATTTTGTCATGTATATCCTTCATAAACTTTGGTGCGTTTTATCCTCTATTCCATTTTCTATTTCTACTAGTTCAACTGTCCTTCCACTTTATGGTTGCATACTTTGATGCATCATCTGTTTGTCTGCCCTTCCGCTGTATTGTTTTAGGGGTATCTACAAATCTTAAATTGAATATGCAACCCTCTTTCTCCACCACATCTTCAAATCCCCATCTGAATTCCATTAATGTTCATCCACTAGGCTGTCTCTTTAGTCCTCCTCCTTTCTTACGCATGCTTAGTATTTAAGCAGTTAAATTTCAGTAATAACTAACTTCTGTCATGCCCACTTAGGGATGACATACATCCTTCAGTTTGCATCCATAGATTCATAGATTCATAGATGTTAGGGTCGGAAGGGACCTCAATAGATCATCGAGTCTGACCCCCTGCATAGGCAGGAA